TTGTAGTTGTTAAGTGCCATCGAGTTGGACCCATAGCGACCCTGTAGAGGGTTTCCAAGGAGCAACTGGTGAGCTTGAACCAGAACCTTGCAGTTCAAACCGACTTTGCTGTCTAGCGCATTAACCCAGACCCCCACACCAAGACTCCTTTTCCCCTTATAGATATTGTTATATTTCTCTCATATGATTTGTAGCAAAACTTTCTGAAACTTGTATATATTGTTTCATTCTTTTCAAAAAGGCGTTTGCCTCATTGCTTCATTGAAAATGGTCTTGTCCTGGGCACAAATAGTTTCCAGTGTATTAAATTCAAGTTTTAGTTGTATATCTTTGCATTATTGATCCCTCGTCACCAATCACAGCAACATATAAGGAGCTCTGGTAGCGTAGTGGTTATGGGTCAGTCTGCTAACTCAAGGTAAACAGTTCAAAACTCAGCATGAGATTGGAAACCCTATACAAGGGTGCTATGAGTCAGAACCAACTCCTTGGCACGTAACCGTCATCACCATCAGTAATGAAACACCTGATACTCTAATTCACTTTATTTTCTTGCCTCCAGTATGCTGTATTTTTCTTAACTTTTTTTTCCTCTGCCTCCTAAGTCCTTTATCTCTTTTGATTTTTATTTTTTCTCCTACCTTGGTGTGGCACTGTAGGATGAGCACTGGACTGTAAGGTCTGTTTCAACCACAAGATCAATCTGTTCAAACTCAACAGCCTCTCTTCAGAACCCTACACAAAGTTGCTGTGAGTTGGAGCTGACTCGATGGCACTTAACAACAGCAACATATTTCTTAAATGGAATCTTGGTGTAGTGCTGTAGAACAAGCAATGTGGAAACCCTCCAGCCAGTCCTTGGAAACCCTGTATGGAGTTACTATGAGTCGGAACCATCTTGATGTTTTTTGTTTGTTTTAAATTGTGAATTGAGTGAAGGTTTACAAAGCATATCACCAGTTGTACATACAACAAATCATACACTTTGTTTCATCTCACTGATTACAATCCCCTCTATGTAACAACAGTTATCTCACTTTCTCCCTGTGGTTCTTATTTCTGTACCACCTTCCCTCTCAACAATTCTGAACTTGTCATTAGGTAAATGTTGCCCTTTTGATACAGAATGTTTAACTGTTCCTTATTAGTGTACACCTTATTAGTGTTGCCTCCCCTATATACCTATCCCTTTGTTTAGAATTGGCCCACAAAGGTAAGTTTCATTGCAGACCTGAAGGGTTTTCTTGGGTCATAGTATTGGATTCCTCCAGCCTCTTTCTAACCACTAAACCCAGTCTAATTTTTTTTTTTTTAAATTTTGGGTTATGCTTCACATTGTCTCATACTCTATCCTGATGGCACTGCACTACTAACTGGAAGGTTGTCAGTTTAAACCCACCAGCCATTCCTGGGGAGATATAAATGAGACTTTCTGTACTCGTAAAGATTTACAGCCTAAGAAACCCTATGCAGGGTTGATGTGAGTTGCAGATTAGCTCAGTGGCGGTGGATTTTTGGTTTGTTTTTGTCTAAGGAGAAATATGTCCCCTAATTATTTCACTAATCTCTTCTATCTCTTCTCCACTCCTTCATGGATCTTCAATCATAGCAGCGTCTTTATTCTATTTAGAACATATCAAACAGTCTCCTTAAATAGGACCTATAGCACTGACTGTTCTCTCTGCTTAGGACACTCTTTCCTCAGATGTTTATGTGATTGCTTTTCCTTCTTCATATCTCTGCTGTAATGCCGTTTTCTTAGAGATGCTCCTCCTGACCACTGTGGTAAAACTACTTCAGTATTGTTTGATTTTCCCTTTCTTGCTTTATTATTTCACAAAGGATCCCTCATCATCCTATCATATCATTGATTTCTTTTTTTATCTGTTTTCCTGTTAGAATGTTATGCCATGAAGAGTGTTTTCTTTCTTACTTGGGCTCATTGCTTTATACCCATCTTCTAAACCAATTCTTGAATATATGATGCCCTTAGTAAATAAAAGTCAAATAAACAGGGCAGGATTCAGGGCACAAGTCCCTTAGTAGGGATTTCCAGCTGAGGGCAGCACCATCTTGTTCTTATTAATTGTTATTGTTGTGAAGTACCATCGAGTAGGTTCCAACCCATAGAGTTTGCGAGGAGAAAACTGGTAAGCTTGAACTGCCGACCTTGTGTTTCAAACCAATGTTGCAGTCCAACACATAACTCACAGTGCCACATCAGAACTGCATTACTTGTTATATCTCCTCTAAAATCGGTGTCATACAGTAATGTATACAGTACATGCTCAGTAAATAATAGTCAAATGAATAAACAGAAATGAGTTCGTGAGTTACCCTTGAGTTGAAGTAAGTAGTGTTAACTATGATACATATTTATAGGTGTCTAGATGTGGCGCTGTGGGTTAATGTGTTCGACTACACAGTCAGTTTGAACTGCAAGGTTGATGGTTCAAGCTATACAGCTGCTCCTCAGAAACCCTATACAGAGTCACTATGGGTCGAAACTGACTTGACAGCACTTAACAACAACAACAAAATCATGGATATGGAAAGACTGGGGATATTGAGAAGAGTAACTTGAATGGAGTAGACAGTAGGACATGGTGCTGTTTAGGAGTATAAGACCAAATTGTGAAGGATTTTGAAATAAGAACAATATTTAAAACAAAACAAACGCCATTGTCTTGGACTCAATTCTTGACTTGCAGGAAACCCCATGTGTGTCACTGTAAAACTGTGCTCTAGGACTTTCAGTTGCTGATTTTTCAGAAGTAGATTTCCAGACCTTTCTTTCATGATTAAGTGGATTCAAATCACCAACCATTTGGTTTGCAGCAAGCACATAACCATTTACACCAGCCACCCAAGGACTCCAAATAATATCTATCGAGTTTATATTGTATATCACATACAGCTTTAAGTCTTTAATGACTTAAAAGCCACAGCTTTAAATGGATTGATACCAGTATTATCCCCGTAGTGTAGATGGGAAACTGACTACTGGAGAGATGAACTTGCCTGGAGATGTACAGATTCTGAAGACAAGTCTGAAAACCAAGCATTCTAATTTAAGAGGATTGTGCCAGACTGCAAAGCCATTAGAACTGCAAGGTTGGCGGTTCAAGCTCCCCAGTTGCTCCTTGGAAATCCTATACAGGGTCGCTATAGGTCGGAACTGACTGAACGTCAGTCTACTACAAGAACAACAATTTTCGACTGCTGTTTTATGATACATTGTTAGGCAAAGTATTGTAAATTTATCAATGGCAGGCCTTAAAGAACTTTGAAGGTTTTTGGGTATATATTGTAATTTTGAATTATTTTCATCTGTTAAGTATTTTATATACTAAATAAATAGCTAAATTCATTTGGGAGAGATAAAGAATTTATATTTGAGCTTTCCCCAGTTTTTTATTATGAATGACCACCACTTCTATTCATGGCTTTTGTTGTAATACTTTCTTCTTAATTTTCTGTCTTTTAAGTATTAATTTCCTTTGCAGGCTTGTGCTTTTACCTAATTTTAAGTATTTTTCAGGATTTATACTTAGGGCACTTTGTCTTTTCAGTGAGTCTACACTTCTTTTTCAATGTTCGTCCACTCTCACTACCTCAGTAACTGACACTTTATAGATTTATGCCATCAGATTATATATGAAAATAATTATTGAGTCTCCGTACCCAGTGAGGGCCTGAAAGCACATTACAGCAATCAAGCCATCCAAATCAGAAACTCCACAAAGATACTGCTTCCTATCATCGTTAACTTCCTTTTGCCTTAGTATCTCATTGGGTGGCAACACAATGTTGCTCAAATAATAAACTAGAAACCTTGGAGTTAATTTTGATTCACTATTTTCCATTCACACCCAGTTGTTAAATCAGTCACCAAGGCCTATGAAGCCTGCTTCTTAAATATTTCTCCTACGTGTCGGTTTATTTGAACTCTTAATGCTTCTATGGATCATCATACCAATTTCTTCAGATATATTTATGCATCAGACACCAAACTGGTTTCTGTATTGTAAGTTACTTT